GTCTCAATGTTGTCGCCTTCCTCAACGAATTGCCCAAAACCCAGCATGATGTCAATTCCTTCGTGGTAGACATAAGCGCCCAGACAGTAAGCTCCTGCTTGCGCCCTGACAGAAGCCTAGAATTGGAGTGGGGGTGGCATTTAATAGGCAAGGTTGGGATGTGCTCAGAAGTCTACATTGTACCTCATGCTGCTTCTCTTTCAGAGCACGCTGCTGTGTTTTTCTGTCAATGGAGTCTTCAAGGAAGGTAAGAATCTTTAAAGTCCTGAGTTTGTAGCATGGTCCCATCCCCAGCTGGAATGTTCCTCAGCACTGTTAGCTTCCCAGCTACTTTCTCTCCCATTTTCTTTTTGAACTCCTTCTCCCATTTTGCCTCCAATCCATCTTGGCTTGGCCTCCCTCTCTGCCTGTCCTGTCAAGATATTGGAAAAGCCTGGGGATTAGGAAGACTTTGGAATCAGGCAGTTCTTAGTTTCCATCCCAGTTTTGGTTGTGTAGGGCTGTGGACAAGTAACATTACCTCTAAGACTTAGGTTATTTATTTGTAAGATGGGGTAATAGCCATCTCACAGTGGTGCTGTAGGAAGTAAAATGAAATAACAAAGTGCTTGGCCTTGGGCCTGGCACACAGATGCTATCAGTGGGTTAGTAGTTATTACTATTATTGTCCTCTCTGCCTGACCCTTCACCCCACCTCTACTTTCCTTATACATTTAATCATCCCTGTCTGGCCCACTAGTATTCTCTGTATCAAATAAGACCATGATTCAAGAAGCTGTTTGTAAACATAAACCACTAGCAACCCTAAGGTGTCGTTACTGTTGTTCTCATTGCAGTGGATGGAAAGTCCCGGGATTCTTTGCGAGCCTTCACCCGGACGTTCATTGCTGTTCCTGCTACCAATTCAGGGTAAATATTATGCTTTTCACATTGGATACCAGTCCTAATCCATGGCCAACAGTGTGGTAATTGGAGGATAGAGTCAGTCTTTGGGGTGCTTTCAGAAAGGCAACAGGAAATCGGGGGAAGCTCACATAGCTAGTTAGGAGTGTGGCTCTGGAATTGTACTGTTTGGGTTTTCATCCTGGCTCCACCACTTCTAGCAAGTAGGCTGCTGCCTCATCTGAAAGTTCATATAACAATATTCACTTCCTAAGTTTGTTGTGAAGATAAATAAAGGGCTAAGAACTGTCCATGTGTTGGGAGAACTCTAGTGTGTTTGGTAGATAATCCTTCCAAACATGGATTCCATGGGAGGAGATAAATGATAAAAGGGAACAATAGCTAAGAGTGGGAGGGGAACCTTGTGAATACTGAAGGAATCTGAGAATAGGAATGATGTTGGGGGATGACATTATATATCTGTCCAGCTTTTTAAGTGCTCTTTGTTCTCAAGGCTGTGTATTGTAAACGACGAGCTATTTGTGCGGAATGCAAGTTCTGAAGAGATCCAAAGAGCCTTCGCTATGCCTGCACCCACGCCTTCCTCCAGCCCAGTGCCCACCCTCTCTCCAGAGCAGCAGGAAATGTTGCAGGCATTCTCTACCCAGTCTGGCATGAACCTCGAGTGGTCCCAGAAGTGAGTGTTGGGCATTAGGGTGGGGATGAACTGAACTGAAGTAGGACTAGTTGTGAATAATGAGAGCTCCTGACAGGTGGGTTTTTTTTCTTTTTTATTAGAAACAAGGTCTTGCTCTGTCATCCAGGCTGGAGTGTAGTGATGATCATAATTCACTGTAACCTATAACTCCTGGGCACAAGCTCTCCTCTCACCTTAGTCTCCAGAGTAGCTGGAACTACAGGCATGTGCCAGCATACCCAGCATTTTTTTTTTTTTTTTTTTGAGACGGAGTTTCACTCTTGTTACCCAGGCTGGAGTGCAATGGCGCGATCTCGGCTCACCGCAACCTCCGCCTCCTGGGCTCAGGCAATTCTCCTGCCTCAGCCTCCTAAGTAGCTGGGATTACAGTAACGCACCACCATGCCCAGCTAACTTTTTGTATTTTTAGTAGAGACGGGGTTTCACCTTGTTGACCAGGATGGTCTCGATCTCTCGACCTCGTGATCCACCCGCCTCGGCCTCCCAAAGTGCTGGGATTACAGGCTTGAGCCACTGCGCCCGGCCTTTTTTTTTTTTTTTTCTTTTTTTATGAGAGGGAGTTTCGCTCTTGTTACCCAGGCTGGAGTGCAATGGCGCGATCTCGGCTCACCGCAACCTCCGCCTCCTGGGTTCAGGCAATTCTCCTGCCTCAGCCTCCTGAGTAGCTGGGATTACAGGCACGCACTACCATGCCCAGCTCATTTTTTGTATTTTTGGTAGAGACGGGGTTTCACCATGTTGACCAGGATGGTCTCGATCTCTTGACCTCGTGATCCACCCGCCTCCCAAAAGTGCTGGGATTACAGGCTTGAGCCACCGCGCCCGGCCCCTTTTTTTTTTTTAAGAGAGGGTTTCACCATGTTGGTCAGGCTGGTCTTGAATTCCCGACCTCAGGTGATCTGCCTGCCTTGGCCTCCAAAGTGCTTGGATTACAGGTGTGAGCCACCACACCCGGCCTTTTTAAAAAATTTTTTGTAGAGACCATCTTGCTATGTTGCTCAGGCTGGTCCTGAGCTCAAGTAATCCTCCTGCCTTGGCCTCCCAAAACGCAGGGATAATAGGCATGAGCCATTGTGCCCAGCCAGATTTTTATTTGCTTGTTTTGAGACAGGGTCTCATTCTGATGCCCAGGCTGGAGTACAGTGGTGTGATCACAGCTCACTGCTAGGGCTCAGGTGATTCTCCCACCTCAGCTACCTGAGTAGCTGGGACTACAGGCATAGGCCACAGCACTTGGCTAATTTTTTTGTATTTCTTTGTAGAGATGGTATTTCGCCATGTTTCCCACCTAGGCCTCCCAAAGTGCTGGGGTTATAGGTGTGAACTACCATGTCTGGCCTCCTGAAATTTTAAAAGGCAAAACTTTTTGCTGCTTAAAAAAGCCCAATAGTCGACTGGGCATGGTGGCTCACGCCTGTAATCCCAGCACTTTGGGAGGCTGAGATGGTCATGAGATCTAGAGATCGAGACCATCCTGGCCAACATAGTGAAACCGTGTCTCTACTAAAAATACAAAAATTAGCTGGGTATGGTGGCACGCCCCTATAGTTCCAGCTACTTGGGAGTTTGAGGTGGGAGAATCACTTGAACCAGAGAGTCGGAGGTTGCAGTGAGCTAAGATCTTGCCACTGCACTCCAGCCTGGGAAGAGCGTGAGACTTCGTCTCAAAAAAAAAAAAAACAAAACAGTAAACAAACAAACAAAAAAGATAGTTTATAAAAAATTTGCCTGTGCATAAATTAGCATAAAAAATTTAGCCGGCTGCAGTGATTCATGCCTGTAATCCCAGCACTTTGGGAGGCAGAGGTGGGTGGATCACAGGGTCAGGAGTTTGAGACCAGCCTAGCCAATCTGTCTCTACTAAAAATACAAAAAAAAATTAGGCATGGTGGCACAAACCTGTAATCCCAGCTACTTGGGAGACTGAGGCAGGAGAATTGCTTGAACCTGGGAGGCAGAGGTTACAGTGGGCAGAGCTTGTGACATTGCATTCCAGCCTGGGAGACAGAGCGAGACTGTCTCAAAAAAAAATTGACCGAGTGTGGTGGCTCACACCTGTAATCCCATCACTTTGGGAGGTTGACGTGGGCATCATGAGGTCAGGAGTTGGAGACCATCCTGGCTAACATGATGAATCCCCGTCTCTACTAAAAAAATACGAAAAATTATCTGGGCATGGTGGCATGCACCTGTAGTCCCAGCTACTAGGGAGGCTAAGGCAGGAGAATTGATTGAACCCAGGAGGTGGAGGTTGCAGTGAGCCAAGATCAAGTCACTACACTCTAGCCTGGGCAACAGAGGGAAACTGTCTGAAAAATAAATAAAAGCCAAAATGGAAGTTTCTTTTTATATACCGTTTTGCAACTTAGTTTCTTTACTTAGACCATGATCATCTCTCCCTACCAGTGTAAAAACTGTCTTGGGCTTGACAGCTATTTAATACTCGTTATCTTTGATAGACCATTGGTAGAACATTTAGACTTTTACTAATTTCTCACTTGTATAAGTAGTGCAAGGATATATAAGAATGTACATACTTTTTGGCAAACTTGGGTGCTTTTATAGAATGGACTTTCAAATGGCATTTAGGGGTCAGAGTCTTTTTTTTTTTTTTTTTTTTTTTTTTTTCCAGTGATGGGGTTTCACCATGTTGGCCAAGCTGACTCCTGGCCTCAAGTGATCCACCCACCTCAGCCTCCCAAAGTGCTGGGATTAAAGGTCAGAGTTCTTATGGAGCTGCCTGTTCTCCCCACTCCAGGTGCCTTCAGGACAACAACTGGGACTACACCAGATCTGCCCAGGCCTTCACTCATCTCAAGGTAAGGTCTGGAAGTACAGTGGCAAAAACACTAGGATCTCCTGGCCTTCAGGAGGTCAGGTTAGGTGGGGTTGCTAAGTGGGGAGGGTAGGCCTGCCTCTACTGACCTTTCATTTTTCTCCAGGCCAAGGGCGAGATCCCAGAAGTGGCATTCATGAAGTGATCGTAGTCATGCCCTAGAAGCAGCCCCCCTGTAAATAGCCGTTGGATATTACTGTCTGGTTGTCATCTGTCATCTCCTCCTGTCTGGCCCAAGGCTGCCCTGTGACTGTGACCGAGGAGGGAGGGCTGCTGGATCCTTCTCACCTGCCTTCTGGAAGACTTCAGAAGATTGAGCCTCACTGGTGCCAGGAAGCCAAAGCTTACTTTGTAGAACTGACACTAAACTACCCGAAGGACTTAGGTGCTTTGTGTACTTAACCCCAGGACCTCCTTACTTTTTAAGATAAACAGTGATGTTGTATTTTGTGTTCTGCGTGCTGGATCCGTTTTCTCCTCCCAGCCCTGAGCAGGAGGGCGGGCCCTGTAGCCAGGGAAGAGGGGAGGCGGGGAGGGCGTCAAGGGAGAGGGGAGGTGGCTCCGCGGCAGGAAGCCCCGCCCCGGAAGTCGGCTAGTCATGGCGGCTCTTGGGAGGCGGTGGTTCACTGGGCTGCTAGCGGCGTTGCGGACACTGCCCACGCGCCGGCTCCTGCAATTCGCGACCTTGCAACGGGATGTGCTGCTCTTTGAGCACGAACGGGGCCGCTTCTTCACCATCCTTGGGCTGTTTTGCGCGGGCCAGGGCGTCTTCTGGGCCTCCCTGGCTGCGGCAACCGTGTCCCGGCCCCATGTCCCGGTGCAGCCTCAGGATGAGGAGGTCCCAAACCATGGCCGCGACCTGCGCTCCGCGCTTTGGCGCTACGGTCTGGCCGTCGGCTGCGGCACTATCGGTAAGACGTGGGCTACCTTCCCACTATTTCAATTCGGGGTGGCAGAACAGGACCCTCCGTACGCAGGCAGGGAGTATCAGGGGCCCATTATCCCAGATGAGCAAGAGTGGCTGGTGGGCTTGCCCCATAGAAATGGGAAACACTGATGTCTCTGAGAGCACCATGCCCTGTCATAGTCTAGGCTGAGGTCTGCCCTTCACTCTGCAACCTTGAGCAAGGTCCTTAAAGCTGTGGACCCGGCCGGGCGTGGTGGCTCACAATTGCAATCCCGACACTTTGGGAGGCCGAGGCTGGCGGATCACGAGGTCAGGAGTTCAAGACCAGCCTGGCCAATATGGTGAAACCCCTTCTCTACTAAAAATACAAAAAAAAAAAAAAAAAAAAAAAAATTGCCGGGCGCGGTGGCTCAAGCCTGTAATCCCAGCACTTTGGGAGGCCTAGGCGGGCGGATCACGAGGTCAACAGATCAAGACCATCCTGGTCAACATGGTGAAACCCCATCTCTACTAAAAAAATACAAAAAATTAGCTGGACATGGTGGCGCGTGCCTGTAATCCCAGCTACTCAGGAGGCTGAGGCAGGAGAATTGCCTGAACCCAGGAGGCGGAGGTTGCGGTGAGCCGAGATCGCGCCATTGCACTCCAGCCTGGGTAACAAGAGCGAAACTCCGTCTCAGAAAAAAAAAAAAAAAAATTAGCCGTACGTGCGCACCCGTAATGTCAGCTATTCGGGAGGCTGAGGCAGAAGAATCGCTTGAACCTGGGAGGCGGAAGTTGCAGTGAGCCGAGATCATGCCAGTGCACTGCGTCCTGGGAGACAGACTGAGAGTCCATCTCAAAAAACAAAAAAAAACTCGGGAATCTTCGTCTTCCCTTTAAAATGGAAACTGACATCTATTAAGACTGCAGGGAGGAATAGCAGGATTCTGGGGTGTAAGAGGAGCTCAGTAAATATTACTTTCACCCCCCAAATTTCTTAGAGGAGACTAGGAAGGTGGGTACTTAGCTGTCCAGTGAAAACGCCTCAGCGCAATCTCTGCTCTTCCTGCAGGAGCCCTGGTACTCGGTGCTGGTCTTCTCTTCTCTCTCCGGTCTGTGCGCTCGGTGGTGCTTCGAGCTGGAGGGCAGCAGGTGACCCTCACCACTCATGCCCCCTTTGGCTCGTGGGCCAATTTCACAGTTCCTTTGAACCAAGTATCTTGCATGGCCCACCGGGATGAAGTCCCTGCCATGCTACCTCTGAAAGTCAAGGGCCGGCGCTTCTATTTCCTCTTAGACAAAGCTGGACGCTTCCCTAACACAAAGCTCTTTGACAATACTGTGGGTGCCTACCGGAGCCTGTGAAGAAACGACCTCGAGTCACTCACCTCTCCAAGAGGGGGAGAAAACGGAACCTTGGAGAGCCAGGTGTGTACTTTGGGAGGCTGAGGCAGGAGGACTGCTTGAGCCCAGGTTGAGAACAGCCTGGGCAACATAGCAAGACCTTGTCTCTATTTCCAAAAATAAAACCACCTTAGAGATGGAGTAACAACCAGGGTCCCACAAGGAGGCTCAAGATTCATTAACAAATAAAGGAGCAGTCATCCCTAGGGCAGCTGCCAGACAGTACCTCTAAGTTTCAATCCATGTCTGTTGAGCCTTCACTCCTTCCTCCCATCTACTTGTGCTTTAACATCAAAAACTCACTCCTAAGATGAAGACAGTAATATATTTTGGTACAAAAACAGCTGTAGGAAGAGGTGGAGCAGGGGCCTGTCATTACATTTCCCTCCTGAAGGGAAAACTAAGGCTCCCAGCATGAACAGGGCTTCGTGGGGGCAAGAGGACTGCAGGCACTTGGGCATGGAGTGTTTGGCTGCAGGAAGCACTCTGGTTATTCTTCAGAAATGGGAAAGGCGTGGCCCAATCAGAGCATTTGTCTCAGAACTCCACTCAGGGTCACCCCTCTCCAGAGGCCGGCATGGGGTGGCTTCAGACTTCCACTGCACGACCTGGAGCACCAAGACCACACACCACAATACCAAATTCACCCAAGAAGAGGTCTGTGGGAGACAGGGACAGGGGTGTGAGGAGGGGGACCGTTTAAAACCCAGCCCTTCCCACCCACACACCACTCTTAACTGCTGAATTTTAGGTTGACAAGCCCCCGAGCTGCTCTCACTGGTGGGCCAACAAGCTGATTATACACTGGTGAGCACCCACACAGCTACAGATACTTATGTGAATCTTTCTGTGTATCCCTGGGTCTCACTTCAGCATTGTGTAGGTTGAAGTAAAACTGCACAGCAGTTCCAGTGGGTGTCCATGGAATTTTCTGGGCTTCAGAACAGCTGTGAGGTCGAAGAGACAGTTGTGAGAAAGGGTGATAGTTTATATTCGAGGCACACCCATGCCCAGTGCCCTGTGAGTTGAGAGCAACTGATGGGGATAAAAGGGGAAATTACAGGACCCCCATGAGAGGGAAGATAAGACAGCCCCAGCCAGGATTCCCTTCCTCTCCCATTACCTAATTGTAGTGTTCAGGGAGATGATGGAGTTGCAGAAAGACCTGGTGCCAAATCGAAGGATACAGGCAGACACCAAAACCAGGAAGATGGCTATTGCTGAGATGGCCAGTGCAATGCGCAGCCCTATAGGACCTCTGAGAGGAAGACAACAAGACTTGGGGTTGAGGGGAGACTCATCCTACCTCAGCCCCTGGCCCTCAGGGTTGAGCAATCACCTGTGGGAGTCCTCGATGCAGCTGCTGTAGACCCAGAAGAGCAGAAGCAGGAGGCAGTAGAGGGCCAAGAGGCCAGAGGCCCCAGCTACAAAGTAGCAGAGGGATGGGGCTGAGGGACGGGATAAGGCCAGGGAGGAGCCATTCAGGACGGCCACACCGTACAGGGGACATCTACTGCTGAAGGAACCCTGTGGAGAGAAGCTTCTGAGTCCTGGATTTCAGGTTAATGCCGCTGGATGCAGTCTCTTGGTAGGTGTTTGTTAGTGATAACCTAGTCCAGGACCATTCCAGGAAGTTATTTGTGCACTGTCAATTCCTGTTTCTGGGACAAGGATATTGATGGAGAGGGCATGCTGGGGAATCAAACCTGCAGTGGCCCAAGGATCAGAAAATACGCAATGATTATAGAATACAATGAGCTTCAGAGAAGCCTCACAAGTTCTGGGCTCTGTGCAGAAGAAACCTTTGAGTAAACCCAGGCCTTGCATATTCTTCAACAAGTAAGTATCTCTACGGTATTTTTTTTTTTTTTTGCCTGAAATGGAGTTTTGCTCTTGTGCCCAGGCTGGAGTGCAATGGCGCGATCTTAGTACACCGCAACCTCCACCTCCTGGGTTCAAGCAGTTCTCCTGCCTCAGCCTCCTGAGTAGCTGGGATTACAGGCGCCCAAACCACAGCTAATTTTTGTATTTTTAGTAGAGACAAGGTTTCGCCATGTTGGCCAGGCTGGTCTCAAACTCCTGACCTCAAGTGATCCGCCCGCCTAGGCCTCCCAAAGTGCTGGGTTTAACAGGTGTGAGCCACCGCACCCGGCAGATCTCTGAGGTTTTCTAACGGTGTAAAATAGGCACGCTAGTGCCTACTTTATAGGAATTAAATGAACCAATGTTTACTAACAAGATTGCCTGGCTGGGGTAAACGATATAAAATTGGTTTCTACCTTTACGTCAGCGTTTTCTACATCTCTATTTTGTCATTTAATACATTGTGCTGGAATCATGTGGTAGCCTGATCATCTCCACTACACTATGCTTTATTTCTCGACAAAGCTCAGCACAAATGGTTTCTGATTTAACGGGTGGACACAAGAGCCTGCACCGACTTGTTTCAGAACCAGAGCAAGGTGGTGCAGCAGGAGCCACCAAGCCCGATTCCATCTAGTTTTGTAAGACGCTACTGACTCGTCCCTTTGGCAAAGGAACAACTTCCAAGTATGACCAGGCCAGGAGGAGCCACAAAGCGCGATTCGCGTCCCTGCATTTCAGCTACAGGCCGGCGCCACCCGGGCCTCACTAGGTCCAGCGGCTCGGAGCAACAGCAAGCCGGATCGGAAAGCGACAGAGGCCTCGCCATGTCAGGACTGGCTAGCTTTCCCGCCTACCTGCCCCGCCCCACAGCCGCACCTGGGTCCGAGTTAGCGCCGCGGCCGCCACGGCCCCGCAAAGGAAGGCGGCGGCAAAGAGCACGAGCTCGAAGCGCTGCAGCCAGGGCAGCGCCATAGCGCCCCGACTACTGGGAAGCAACGCCGCCGCAGCAACTCGCTTAAACCCCACCTCATCCGGCGAAACCCACGAGAGCGGAAACGTCACTTCCGGAGGCGGGATTTATTTACAAAAAACGTAGGCGACACCCGCCTCAGAGCGGCAGGTACAGCGAGTAGTCCGAGAGCGCCCACCGGCGGGCGGGGCGGCTGGTGCGGCCGATCATGGGCAGTTTCTGCACGTAGCGGGAGGCCGGGCTAGGCCCGTACGGCGCGGGGAAGGCAGTCTGGAAAAGGCGCCCGCGGCAGCGCCTCCCAGCCTGCCGCCCGGCGATGATAAAACGAAAGTGGGGGGCACCGCGCGGGGCGAAACGGCTCTTCTGGAAGACGTCGCGGGTGCCGGCCCCGGGCCCCTGTTGCCGGGGCGCTCCGCGCGCCCGGTGCACGCGTGGTAGGGGCCTGCTCTCAGAGGCGGCGGGCCCAGAGGCCGACGCGGGGCCGCTGCTGCCGCTGCCCCGAGGGCTCTCGTCGCCCTGCGGGCTGACCATGGCGCTCGCCGTCAGCTGCGGCATCTTCCGCACTGAGTCCGGGGCGGCCGCCGGCTCCTTCTTATCCCCGGGCGGCCGCGGAGCCGTGGGTGCAGGCTGGCCTGTGCCGAAGCGTGTGGCCAAGCTGTCACCGAAGAAGGCGTAGAGCTCCCGGTAGATGTCCGCCAGGGTCACCGAAGGAGAAGGATCCTCCGGCCCCGCGCCCCCTGGCGGCAACGGGAGACCGGACCCAAAGCTGGGCTCTGTACCGCTCCCGGAAGAAGGCTCTTGCAAGAGAAGGCTGTCCCAGGGCAGGTCGTCCAGGCGCCGGCACCCCCTGCCACGTGGGCCACCCCTGTTGGGCTCTGCTGCCTGGGCCTTCATCTTCAGCAGTCGCTCTACGGCCACCTGTAAGAGCCAGGGACTAAGACAGGCAAGAACTTCGAGGAACCTGGGACCATCAAGTACTCCAAAGTAAGCCTGCTTGGATGCTAAGCTCATGCAAGGAAGGGAGGCTGGATGGGGATGGCACTCACCAGAATGGCTCCATAGACTTTGTGCCCATCTGCTTTGACCTGGGCATTAGATACTGAATAATCATCCAGCACAGCCTGCAAGTTTGTCCAGTAAGTGGACAGGTGTGGATACAGGACTCGTTCGACTGCCTGGAAGGAAGAGAACGAATGCAGTTAGCATCTCTTCGTTATTATTTCCTCTCAAGGACCTTTTCCCATGAAAGACCTACCTTTATTTCTGATCCTAGACAAGGCTCAATCCTCCTAAATTCCCTGATTGGCATATTCAGCCATACATTTATTTGGAACCTACTGTGTACCTAAGCTAAGCGTTGGGAATAAAAGTACAGGACGTGTGCTGTGGCTCACACCTGTAAGCTCAGCACTTTGGGAGGCCGAGGCAGGCAGATTATAAAGTCAGAAGTTTGAGACCAACCTGGCCAACATGGTGAAACCCCGTCTCTACGACCTAAATCCTATAAAAGTATATATAAAAAAGAAATACTTCCCACCTCATTCTATAAGGCCGGTATAACCCTGATTCTAAAACCAGACAAGGAGAGTACATGAGAAGAAATGTGTTTAACTTCACTCATGAATAAAGATAAACCTTACTAAAATTGAGCAAACCCAAAAGTAGTATGTTTTTGTTTTTGTGCTTTTGGTTTTTTGCTTTTTTTTTTTTTTTTTTCTTGAGACAGTGTCTAGCTCTGTTGCTCAGGCTGGAATTAGTGGAATGATCAAGACTCACTGCAGCTTCAACCACCTGGGCTCAAGCAATCCTCCCACCTCAGCCTCCCAAGTAGCTGGGACTACAGGTATGAGCCACCACACCCCACCAATTTTTTTTTTTTTTTGTAGAGACAGGGTTTTGCCATGTTGCCCAGGTTGGTCTAAAACTCCTGTTCTCAATGCCTATAATCTTAGCATTTTGGGAGGCCCAACTGCAGGATCACTTGAAGCCATGTTGTCCAGGATAGTTTTGATCTCCTGACCAGGTATTGGTGGCACACGCCTGTAGTGCCAGCTACTTGGGAGGCTGAGGCAGGAGAATCGCTTGAACCCAGAAGGCAGAGGTTGCAGTGACCCGAGATCGCACCACTGCACTCCAGCCTGGGCGACAGAAACACCATAAAGACACCATTACAACAGCATCGAAGGACAGCAAGAATTTAGGAACAGATTGGTTTTTTTTTTTTTGAGACAGAGTGTCACGCTGTCACCCACAATGGAGTGCAGGAATCTGGCTTATTGCAGCCTTAACCTCCCAGGATCAAGCAATCCTCCCACATCGGCCTCCCAAGTAGCTGGGACTGAACCTGCATGCCAATCGCGCTTTGCTAATTTTTAAAACTTTTTGTAGA